AGGGAAGTCTGAACTCACGTGCATGTACTCCATTGCACGGTTCAGACCCCATTCCGATGAAACTTTCACATTATACGTGAGCGAAAATATTTAACTTGCGCCATTCGCCTCAACGGACGAAAAAGCGTGCCGCCATTGTGGCTGTTTACACCGGAAGTCATCTAACAAGAAGGGACCAGGCCACCATCTTCAGACTTAGAACACAAGATACTCCACTCAATGGACACCTAAACAGAATACAGCCACAACACTCCCCAGAGTGCCAGCTATGTAACTACCCCTACGAAACTGTTGAACACCATCTCTTTGAGTGCCCAAAACTCAGTGAGACAAGAAGAACGCTACTCCCTCCGAGACCAGACAAGTGGAACACCTTGTACGGAGGAAAAGAACAGCTTGTGAAAACATGCAAATTCCACTACACGGCATTGGGCCAAAGGGTGAAAGCTCATGCCCCGCTGGATCGATAACAACAACAAAATGTCAGGAAATATATATTCTTTCTAGCTGTGTGCAGCTGGTCAAGATGACCGTTGACAAGCTTCTCTGTCAGGTGCTGGCAGTCTTATAGTCTATGGTGTGTGCGACTGGTCAGGATGAGCATTGACAAGCTTCTCTGTCAGTCTTATAGTCTATGGTGTGTGCGACTGGTCTAGATGAGCATTGACAAGCTTCTCTGTCAGGTGCTGGCAGTCTTATAGTCTATGGTGTGTGTGACTGATCAAGATGACCGTTGACAAGCTTCTCTGTCAGTCTTATAGTCTATGGTGTGTGCAACTGGTCAGGATGAGCATTGACAAGCTACTCTGTCAGTCTTATAGTCTATGGTGTGTGCAACTGGTCAAGATGAGCATTGACAAGCTTCTCTGTCAGGTGCTGGCAGTCTTTTAGTCTATGGTGTGTGCGACTGGTCAAGATGAGCATTGACAAGCTTCTCTGTCAAGTGCTGGCAGTCTTACAGTCTATGGTGTGTGCGACTGGTCTAGATGAGCATTGACAAGCTTCTCTGGCATTCTTATAGTCTATGGTGTGTGCGACTGGTCAAGATGAGCATTGACAAGCTTCTCTGTCAGGTGCTGGCAGTCTTACAGTCTATGGTGTGTGCGACTGGTCAAGATGAGCATTGACAAGCTTCTCTGTCAGGTGCTGGCAGTCTTACAGTCTATGATGTGTGCGACTGGTCAAGATGAGCATTGACAAGCTTCTCTGTCAGTCTTATAGTCTATGGTGTGTGCAGCTAGTCAAGATGAGCATTGACAAGCTTCTCTGTCGGGTGCTGGCAGTCTTATAGTCTATGGTGTGTGCGACTGGTCAAGATGAGCATTGACAAGCTTCTCTGTCAGTCTTATAGTCTATGGTGTGTGCGACTGGTCTAGATGAGCATTGACAAGCTTCTCTGTCAGGTGCTGACAGTCTTACAGTCTATGGTGTGTGCGACTGGTCTAGATGAGCATTGACAAGCTTCTCTGGCATTCTTATAGTCTATGGTGTGTGCGACTGGTCAAGATGAGCATTGACAAGCTTCTCTGTCAGGTGCTGGCAGTCTTACAGTCTATGGTGTGTGCGACTGGTCAAGATGAGCATTGACAAGCTTCTCTGTCAGGTGCTGGCAGTCTTACAGTCTATGATGTGTGCGACTGGTCAAGATGAGCATTGACAAGCTTCTCTGTCAGTCTTATAGTCTATGGTGTGTGCGACTGGTCAGGATGAGCATTGACAAGCTTCTCTGTCAGTCTTATAGTCTATGGTGTGTGCGACTGGTCAAGATGAGCATTGACAAGCTTCTCTGTCAGGTGCTGGCAGTCTTATAGTCTATGGTGTGTGCGACTGGTCAAGATGAGCATTGACAAGCTTCTCTGTCAGGTGCTGGCAGTCTTATAGTCTATGGTGTGTGCGACTGGTCAAGATGAGCATTGACAAGCTTCTCTGTCAGGTGCTGGCAGTCTTATAGTCTATGGTGTGTGCAACTGGTCTAGATGAGCATTGACAAGCTTCTCTGTCAGTCTTATAGTCTATGGTGTGTGCAGCTGGTCAAGATGAGCATTGACAAGCTTCTCTGTCAAGTGCTGGCAGTCTTACAGTCTATGGTGTGTGCGACTGGTCTAGATGAGCATTGACAAGCTTCTCTGTCAGTCTTATAGTCTATGGTGTGTGCAGCTGGTCAAGATGAGCATTGACAAGCTTCTCTGTCAAGTGCTGGCAGTCTTACAGTCTATGGTGTGTGCGACTGGTCTAGATGAGCATTGACAAGCTTCTCTGGCATTCTTATAGTCTATGGTGTGTGCGACTGGTCAAGATGAGCATTGACAAGCTTCTCTGTCAGTTGCTGGCAGTCTTACAGTCTATGGTGTGTGCGACTGGTCAAGATGAGCATTGACAAGCTTCTCTGTCAGGTGCTGGCAGTCTTACAGTCTATGATGTGTGCGACTGGTCAAGATGAGCATTGACAAGCTTCTCTGTCAGTCTTATAGTCTATGGTGTGTGCAGCTAGTCAAGATGAGCATTGACAAGCTTCTCTGTCGGGTGCTGGCAGTCTTATAGTCTATGGTGTGTGCGACTGGTCAAGATGAGCATTGACAAGCTTCTCTGTCAGTCTTATAGTCTATGGTGTGTGCGACTGGTCTAGATGAGCATTGACAAGCTTCTCTGTCAGGTGCTGACAGTCTTACAGTCTATGGTGTGTGCGACTGGTCTAGATGAGCATTGACAAGCTTCTCTGGCATTCTTATAGTCTATGGTGTGTGCGGACTGGTCAAGATGAGCATTGACAAGCTTCTCTGTCAGGTGCTGGCAGTCTTACAGTCTATGGTGTGTGCGACTGGTCAAGATGAGCATTGACAAGCTTCTCTGTCAGGTGCTGGCAGTCTTACAGTCTATGATGTGTGCGACTGGTCAAGATGAGCATTGACAAGCTTCTCTGTCAGTCTTATAGTCTATGGTGTGTGCGACTGGTCAGGATGAGCATTGACAAGCTTCTCTGTCAGGTGCTGGCAGTCTTATAGTCTATGGTGTGTGCGACTGGTCAAGATGAGCATTGACAAGCTTCTCTGTCAGGTGCTGTCAGTCTTATAGTCTATGGTGTGTGCGACTGGTCAAGATGAGCATTGACAAGCTTCTCTGTCAGGTGCTGGCAGTCTTATAGTCTATGGTGTGTGCGACTGGTCAAGATGAGCATTGACAAGCTTCTCTGTCAGGTGCTGGCAGTCTTATAGTCTATGGTGTGTGCGACTGGTCAAGATGAGCATTGACAAGCTTCTCTGTCAGGTGCTGGCAGTCTTATAGTCTATGGTGTGTGCAACTGGTCTAGATGAGCATTGACAAGCTTCTCTGTCAGTCTTATAGTCTATGGTGTGTGCAGCTGGTCAAGATGAGCATTGACAAGCTTCTCTGTCAAGTGCTGGCAGTCTTACAGTCTATGGTGTGTGCGACTGGTCTAGATGAGCATTGACAAGCTTCTCTGTCAGTCTTATAGTCTATGGTGTGTGCAGCTGGTCAAGATGAGCATTGACAAGCTTCTCTGTCAAGTGCTGGCAGTCTTACAGTCTATGGTGTGTGCAGCTTGTCAAGATGAGCATTGACAAGCTTCTCTGTCAAGTGCTGGTAGTCTTACAGTCTATGGTGTGTGACACTGATAATGGGGAGGGAGGGAGGGAGGGGGTTGGATAAGCAGCAAAATAAAGATACAAGTTGAATATTTAAGAAGAAGCATTTTGAAAACTTGCATCACACTGAGAAAATCTGCCACACGGCCCTGATAATGACTTTCCATAACTTCTCTCTTAGGCACTGACAATCACTTCTAGGACTTTTATATTTACATACAATGTTGTCTTAAAATGTCAAGAAATAAATAGGCACAGGTGTGTCTGACATGAATTCTCTGCCACATGCGTCCAGGCTTGATGTGCAAGAGACCAACATGGTGTGTCACGGCTTGATGTGCAAGAGACCAATATCGTGTGTCCAGGCATGATGTGCAAGAGACCAATATGGTGTGTCCAGGCTTGATGTGCAAGAGACCAATATGGTGTGTCCAGGCTTGATGTGCAAGAGACCAATATGGTGTGTCCAGGCTTGATGTGCAAGAGACCAATATGGTGTGTCCAGGCATGATGTGCAAGAGACCAATATGGTGTGTCCAGGCTTGATGTGCAAGAGACCAATATGGTTTGTCTAGGCTTGATGTGCAAGAGACCACTGGGGTGTGTCCAGGCTTGATGTACAAGAGACCAATATGGTGTGTCCAGGCTTGATGTGCAAGAGACCAATATGGTGTGTCCAGGCTTGATGTGCAAGAGACCAATATGGTGTGTCCAGGCTTGATGTGCAAGAGACCACTATCGTGTGTCGAGGCTTGATGTACAAGAGACCACTAGGGTGTACACGTGGATGCTACAACCTGATTCCTGCAGTCATGTGACACGAACAGACATTCTTTCACATGTGGCTGACAGGGAGATCTCACCAAACTGTTGCTTCAACATTCTTTCACATGTGGCTGACAGGGAGATCTCACCAAACTGTTGCTTCAACATTCTTTCACATGTGGCTGACAGGGAGATCTTACCAAAATATTGCTGCAAAAATTATGATGCACTGACAATGTGTGTGTGTGTGTAATTTGATGAAATAACTGATATGGGTCTGTGTGTGTGTGTGTGTGTGTGTGTTATGATGCTCTAAGTAACAGTGCGTGTGTATGTGTTATGACATACTAAGTGTACACTTTTTGGGTATCTGTGCTTTCATGCACTATTTATGCTTGTATGCTGTGATGAACTATTTGTTTGCACATGTGTATGCTATGATGAACTATTTGTTTGCACATGTGTATGCTATGATGAACCATTTGTTTGCACATGTGTATGCTATGACGAACTATTTGTTTGCACATGTGTATGCTATGATGAACTATTTGTTTACACATGTGTATGCTATGATGAACTATTTGTTTGCACATGTGTATGCTATGACGAACTATTTGTTTGCACATGTGTATGCTATGACGAACTATTTGCATGTGTGCGCACTACTTTACTATGATTCCGGCTCAGTCTTTTCCCAATTGTCTCCACTTTAAAACCGATGTCCAGCAGTTGCTGGTGGTTAAGCAGAAGTCGACCATCAAAGATGAAAGCTGGCTTTAACATTTTGTGGTAGATTCTCTGGTAATCAAGATTCTGCAAGAAGAAAAAGTTAGTTAGTATCACCTGAATATACAACGCATGACAAGAGGACATTTTTTAGGGGAGTTGGGGGGGGGGGGGAGCAACAGTGTAAGGCTACATAAATAATCGGTAGCAAATCAGATGATTTGGTCATGCAGAGAATATTTCCATAAGACAGTGACCTATTGTAAGCTTTAGCCTACAGACATGATCGAAACAGAGCCAGAAGTTTCTAAAGCAAATGATGAATGGAAAACATAAATATGTAAGGCTACAAACAGCATCACATATGATGAATCTTCCCAGACATCTCTTCATGACATGATGCTAACAAGCAAAACTTCCCAGACATCTCTTCAGGACATGATGCTAACAAGCAAAACTTCCCAGACATCTTTTCAGGACATGATGCTAACAAGCAAAACTTCCCAGACATCTCTTCATGACATGATGCTAACAAGCAAAACTTCCCAGACATCTCTTCAGGACATGATGCTAACAAGCAAAACTTCCCAGACATCTCTTCAGGACATGATGCTAACAAGCAAAACTTCCCAGACATCTCTTCAGGACATGATGCTAACAAGCAAAACTTCCCAGACATCTCTTCATGACATGATGCTAACAAGCAAAACTTCCCAGACATCTCTTCATGACATGATGCTAACAAGCAAAACTTCCCAGACATCTCTTCATGACATGATGCTAACAAGCAAAACTTCCCAGACATCTCTTCAGGACATGATGCTATCAAGCAAAACTTCTCAGACATCTCTTCAGGACATGATGCTAACAAGCAAAACCAACTGGGGAGGAGGAGAAGGTGTACATAGAATAATAATAAATGCAGATGATGTTATACATGATCACATTCTTTTCTTTGAACATAATTCACTTGAGTGTCTGTCTTCCTTCCGCCCTGTATATGTGTTTTTCTCTCTCTCAGCTGCATGCATACACTATACATATATCTTCAAAGTGTATCCTTTATATATCTCTCTCTCCCTTAAAGAATCAGTTCCAAAGATTTCTTCATTTCTTCATGAGGTCTCCTGCCCTTATCTCGAAGGGTAAACGTGTGATCCACTACATCAGGGTTTGGAAATCCTGTTCCTATGTTGTAAAATTCTGGCCTGTTCACACTGTGCCTCAAACACAATCTGATAGAATCCCAGGTGGGTGTCTCTAATTCTGGGACAGTTCACAACTCAAGTGGGTGTCTCTAATTCTGGGACAGTTCACAAGCTGGAGTCTCTACTTCTGGGATAGTTCACAACCCAAGCTGGTGTCTCTACTTCTGGGACAGTTCACAGCTCAAGCTGGTGTCTCTACTTCTGGGACAGTTCACAGCTCAAGCTGGTGTCTCTACTTCTGGGACAGTTTACAACCCAAGCTGGTGTCTCTACTTCTGGGACAGTTTACAACCCAAGCTGGTGTCTCTACTTCTGGGACAGTTCACAGCTCAAGCTGGTGTCTCTACTTCTGGGACAGTTCACAACTCAAGTGGGTGTCTCTAATTCTGGGACAGTTCACAAGCTGGAGTCTCTACTTCTGGGACAGTTTACAACCCAAGCTGGTGTCTCTACTTCTGGGACAGTTCACAGCTCAAGCTGGTGTCTCTACTTCTGGGACAGTTCACAACTCAAGTGGGTGTCTCTAATTCTGGGACAGTTCACAAGCTGGAGTCTCTACTTCTGGGACAGTTTACAACCCAAGCTGGTGTCTCTACTTCTGGGACAGTTCACAGCTCAAGCTGGTGTCTCTACTTCTGGGACAGTTCACAACTCAAGTGGGTGTCTCTAATTCTGGGACAGTTCACAAGCTGGAGTCTCTACTTCTGGGACAGTTTACAACCCAAGCTGGTGTCTCTACTTCTGGGACAGTTCACAGCTCAAGTGGGTGTCTCTAATTCTGGGACAGTTCACAAGCTGGAGTCTCTACTTCTGGGACAGTTTACAACCCAAGCTGGTGTCTCTACTTCTGGGACAGTTCACAACTCAAGTGGGTGTCTCTACTTCTGGGACAGTTCACAGCTCAAGAGGGTGTCTCTACTTCTGGGACAGTTCACAACCCAAGCTGGTGCTCTACTTCTGGGACAGTTCACAGTTCAATCGGGTGTCTCTACTTCTGGGATAGTTCACAACTCAAGCGGGTGTCTCTAATTCTGGGACAGTTCACAGCTCAAGTGGGTCTCTCTACTCCTAGTACAGTTCACAACTCAAGTGGGTGTCTCTACTTCTGGGACAGTTCACAGCTCAAGCGGGTGTCTCTACTTCTGGGACAGTTCACAGCTCAAGTGGGTGTCTCTACTTCTGGGACAGTTCACAACTCAAGCAGGTGTCTTTACTTCTGAGACAGTTCACAGCTCAAGCGGGTGTCTCTACTTCTGGGACAGTTCACAACTCAAGCAGGTGTCTCTACTTCTGGGACAGTTCACAGCTCAAGTGGGTGTCTCTACTTCTGGGACAGTTCACAACTCAAGCGGGTGTCTCTACTTCTGAGACAGTTCACAACCCAAGCGGGTGTCTCTACTTCTGGGACAGTACACAACTCAAGCAGGTGTCTCTACTTCTGGGACAGTACACAACTCAAGCGGGTGTCTCTACTTCTGGGACAGAACACAACCCAAGCTGGTGTCTCTACTTCTGGGACAGTACACAACCCAAGTGGGTGTTTCTACTTCTTTGACAGTTCACAACTCAAGTGGGTGTCTCTACTTCTGACACAGTTCACAACCCCAAGTGGGTGTTTCTACTTCTGGGACAGTTCACAACTTAAGCGGGTGTCTCTAATTCTGGGACAGTTCACAACTCAAGCGGGTGTCTCTAATTCTGTGACAGTTCACAACTCAAGCGGGTGTCTCTAATTCTGGGACAGTTCACAACCCCAAGCGGGTGTCTATACTTCTGGGACAGTTCACAACTCTAGCGGGTGTCTCTAATTCTGGGACAGTTCACAACTCAAGCGGGTGTTTCTAATTCTCGGACAGTTCACAACTCAAGTGGGTGTCTCTACTTCTGGGACAGTTTACAGCTCAAGCGGGTGTCTCTACTTCTGGGGCAGTTCAAACATTCCTGATAACATCTAGCAGGAAATATTGATATCCTACCTGAAACTCATCCCATTCTGTACAAATGACGAGAGCATGGCTGCCGTCTGCTGCCGAGTATGCATCTGGACAGATAGTTACCAGGTCGGGTACTGTAGGAAAAAAAGTCTTTTAAATGTTAGAGGGAAATCAATTTAGCAGAAGGAACAACAAAAAACAAAAAACGAGTTTAAAAAAAAAAGTATATTCTAACTCACTCACTCTTATACATACATGTACACAGTTGACCTATTCAGCAATATTGATTGTGTGAGTTCTCTATTTTTAAAATATTGGCAAGGACATATCATGAGAGTTATGTTAGTTTATGGGAATCTCCTGCACATTCAAGGACATATCCTGAGTGAGTTATGTTAGTTTATGGGAATGTCTCCTGCACATTCAAGGACATACCCTAAGTGAGTTATGTTAGTTTTTCGGAATGTCTCCTGCACATTTAAGGACATATCCTGAGTGAGATGTTAGTTTATGGGAATGTCTCCTGCACATTCAAGGACATACCCTAAGTGAGTTATGTTAGTTTATGGGAATGTCTCCTGCACATTCAAGGACATATCCTGAGTGAGTTATGTTAGTTTATGTGAATGTCTCCTGCACATTCAAGGACATATCCTGAGTGAGTTATGTTAGTTTATGGGAATGTCTCCTGCACATTCAAGGACATATTCTGAGTGAGTTACGTTAGTTTATAGGAATGTCTCCTGCACATTCAAAGACACCACCATAAACTGCCAGTCAGTGATGAGATCATTTGTAACATCCTGAAGAGGTACCTGTCTAGGCGTTTATGTGTTGTGTTGTGACTGTGTGAGTGTTGTGACTGTGTGAGTGTTGTGGCTGTGTGAGTGTTGTGACTGTGTGAGTGTTGTGACTGTGTGAGTGTTGTGACTGTGTGAGTGTTGTGACTGTGTGAGTGTTGTGACTGTGTGAGTGTTGTGACTGTGTGAGTGTTGTGACTGTGTGAGCATTGTGGCTGTGTATTGCTGTTTTTTGCATACTGTTGTTTTTCTGTGTATCATGTCTGTATGTGTTGTGTCTGTGAGTATATGTTTACCTGTGGGTATGAGTTCACTTGTGATTTGATTTGATTTGATTTGATTCAAGAACTGACATCACAGCACTCGGGGCATTCCCATAAGCGCTCCGTCCCCATCTTCAGCAGCCAGCGAAGAGTTCCGATACTAATGGTGCCAGTAGCTTTCTGATTAAACGTCCGTCTTGCCTTTCCTCTGAGCCTCGAGCTTCTGCCAGAACCTCTCGTCACCCCCAACTGCATCAATCTCACCAGACTATGGCGATCCATCTGCTCCTCAGAATTGTACACGCTTTCTCACAAGGCATTAACCAAGTCTGCCCTATCATGTATCAGTATTCCACCAAGTTGTGCAGAGTCAGCCAGTCTGTCCGCCTGTTAATTTCCCAACACACCGGCGTGCCCGGTGAAAAAAAAATCCAGGCAATACTCTTCACTCGTGTCTTCCGTAGCGAAGCATGCCACTCTGCACGAAGCATACCTTTTCTGATCTTCCTCAGCATGCTTTCTGAATCAGTTACAATCACGATGTGTGTGTGTGTCCTGTTCTCTAGCCAGCGAAAAGCTGCAGTGACCGCCTCCACCTCCATTCTTAAGCTGGATGTTGTGGTATCATATGCTAGGCTCGCCTGCACCAAACGTCGACCATTAACTTTTGCCAAGAAGCCCCACGCACTTCTTTTGCCCCTTAACACTGAACCGTTTGTGTAAATGATCAAATCCTCCAAGCGAGCATTATCTTGAATTAATTGCTGAATTTCCACCTCTGTGGCACCTGCTGGCCAGTCTCTGCATTCGCGGCTCAGCGTGATTATGACTCTACACAGGTCTGACTGCTCAGGTGGCACCTTGACCCACTCTTCTCCTCGCCTAATGTTCTCAAGGATGCAAACCTGTCTGATTGGGTCTTCTGCCTGAGCCATCCATGACCTCCCTCTTATCAGCCGCTGACCCTTAACTGCACCCAGAGCTTCATGCAGAGGGTGATCTGTGTCTGCAGCTACCCTGAGATATGACTTCGCCTGCAGCACCTTGTGCCTACCTGCAACCGTCGGCAAACCAAGGATGTATCGCATACATGCCACTGGGGTGTCTCTGGTGCAACCCAGAATGACCCGCATAGCTGCGTTCTGTATGTACTCTAGTTTGTCCATCTGACTCTTTGAGGTGGTAAGTAGCCCCAGGCCATAATCCACCACTGACAGTATCAGGTGCTGATATAGTGTGAAAAGCAATCTCTGCTCTATGTCAATTGCAGCCATAGTCTTAAGTGCACTAAGTCCTTTTTGGCATCTCGTCACAACACTCTCCACATGGTCCTTAAATGACAGGCTCCTGTCAAATGTAATTCCCAGATACTTCAGTTTGCTCTCTCTGTTGACGTCTCTACCATCTATCGTGAGACTTGGGACATTAACTTTAACGATCCTGTTGTCCAGAGAACACCACAAAACAGACGCCTTTTCGGGGTGGACAACAGCCCTCATTTCTGTACACCACTCAGTCACTTTGTCTACTGTCGCTTGTAGCTCCCGAGCTGTTTGTTCCCTCTCTTCTACCTGCCTATATGCAAGTATATCATCTGCAAAGTTCACCTGTGAGTATATTTTTACTTGTGAGTATGTGTTTACCTGTAACTATGTGTTTACCTGTGAGCATGTGTTTACCTGTAAACATGTGTTTACCTTGAGAATGTGTTTACCTGTGAGTATGTGTTTACCTGTGAGCATGTGTTTACCTGTGAGCATGTGTTTACCTGTGAGCATGTGTTTACCTGTGAGTATGTGTTTACCTGTGAGTATGTGTTTACCTGTGAGCATGAGTTTACCTGTAAACATGTGTTTAACTGTGAGTATGTGTTTACCTGTGAGTATGTGTTTACCTGTGTGTATGTGTTTACCTGTGAGTATGTGTTTATCTGTATGTGTTTACCTGTAAGTATCTGTTTACCTGTGAGTATGTGATGTGTCTGTTCAAGAAAGTTAATTGTTGAAATATCCAAAAAAAGTTAACTGTTTAAATAGTTTAAAAAATATTTGGTACCCTTTTCTGGCTCCTCTGTGACCTCGACTGATGACAGGTCTCTACAGATGGAAAACAGAAAACAGACATTTCATCAGACTTAACATTTTCAGGTCTTCTAAGTAATTAAACAATTCTCTATCCAGGTCAGTTTGTTTATCAAAGCAATTTCCCGGTTGTAAATTTGAACAAAGACACAAGACTGCATCCTTTATCGACCCTGCATATTTAGCTGTATCTCGTCAGGTGTATGCTACAATGGCAGATTTAGCTGTATCTCGTCTGGTGTATGCTACAATGGCAGATTTAGCTGTATCTCATCAGGTGTATGCTACAATGGCAGATTTAGCTGTAACTTGTCAGGTGTATGCTACAATGGCAGATTGAGCTGTATCTTGTCAGGTGTATGCTACAATAAGTTATATAATTGAAAGCATCAGAGTTAACACAGACACATGACACTTGCTGCATGGTGAAATACAAAATATAAAAAAGGCAGTAGGTTAAAAAGAGGAAGATTATGGACTGGCCAGGCCGAGGAAATTATTCAGCAGATGTGTTCACTTAAGGACAAAGAACCTGGTGAGGAATGGGCACAAGTACCAACAGAGTGCTGTACGACCTGTCCTGTTTGCATCCGACCAGACAGAAAATGCAGACAAGAAAGTCCAGCCGCTGTTGAAGCAGAAGTGCAGGCTTTGATTTTCAAGAATTCAAGAGGGAAAAAAATAGACCCACTGCCTACCCAAAATCATGTCATAAGAGTCGACTAATTGGGAGCTTCCTTCGAAGTCGGAGTGCATCTGCCTGAGAGGCTAGGAACCTACATACTGCATACAAACGAGTAAGATCTGTAAAATGGATGCACACGCAACACTCAGGTTCTGGAACAGGACTGAAATCCAGAAGTGGATAAACAACCAGAACGTTCCGCCAGAGTTTACAGCTGGTGAACGCAAAAAAATAGGTTTTGTTTTTTAAAACAGCTGTCAGTATTTGTTTACTTCATATATTTTCCACACTTTCCTTGGCTTCAGTGTTTCTATACTCTCTGTCCTATCACTGTTTCTACACTTCTGTTGGGCTCAGTGTTTCTATACTCTCTGTCTTATCACTGTTTCTACACTTCTGTTGGGCTCAGTGTTTCTATACTCTCTGTCTTATCACTGTTTCTACACTTCTGTTGGGCTCAGTGTTTCTATACTCTCTGTCCTATCACTGTTTCTACACTTCTGTTGGGCTCAATGTTTCTATACTCTCTGTCCTGTCACTGTTTTTACACTTCTGTTGGGCTCAGTGTTTCTATACTCTCTGTCCTATCACTGTTTCTACACTTCTGTTGGGCTCAGTGTTTCTATACTCTCTGTCCTATCACTGTTTTTACACTTCTGTTGGGCTCAGTGTTTCTATACTCTCTGTCCTATCACTGTTTCTACACTTCTGTTGGGCTCAGTGTTTCTATACTCTCTGTCCTATCACTGTTTCTACACTTCTGTTGGGCTCAGTGTTTCTATACTCTCTGTCTTATCACTGTTTCTACACTTTTGTTGGGCTCAGTGTTTCTATACTCTCTGTCCTATCACTGTTTCTACACTTCTGTTGGGCTCAATGTTTCTATACTCTCTGTCCTGTCACTGCTTTTACACTTCTGTTGGGCTCAGTGTTTCCATACTCTGTCCTATCACTGTTTCTACACTTCTGTTGGGCTCAGTGTTTCTATACTCTCTGTCCTGTCACTGTTTCTACACTTCTGTTGGGCTCAATGTTTCTATACTCTCTGTCCTATCACTGTTTTTACACTTCTGTTGGGCTCAGTGTTTCTATACTCTCTGCCCTATCACTGTTTCTTCATTTCTGTTGGGCTCAGTGTTTCTATGCTCTCTGTCCTATCACTGTTTCTACACTTCTGTTGGGCTCAGTGTTTCTATGCTCTCTGTCCTATCACTGTTCCTACACTTCTGTTGGGCTCAGTGTTTCTATACTCTCTGTCCTATCACTGTTTCTACACTTCTGTTGGGCTCAGTGTTTCTATGCTCT